CCAGCCCATGATGGGAAGAACTGTCCTGACTTCAGGATGCAAAAAGCCCTTCCCACAGTCTGTATTCTAGAGCAGATATTTGGTCTTTGTTAATTTTTGGTAAGAATATGAAATATTAAGAAGCTTTAAGGTTTTTTTAACTTTATTTTCATAGACAGCTTGGGTAACGTGAGCTAAGAATATCTTTTCATGTTAATTTCATCTGAAAACAAAAATAGAAATGAATAAGTATATTACGTAAATCCAGACTGGTTTTTTATGGCTGTCTCTGTATAGGCTTTATTTATTTATTTATTTATTTATTTTTTTTAAGATTTTATTTATTTTATTTTTTCCCCCCAAAGCCCCAGTAGATAGTTGTATGTCATAGCTGCACATCCTTCTAGTTGCTGTATGCGGGACGCGGCCTCAGGATGGACGGAGAAGTGGTGCCTCGATGCGCACCCGGGATCCGAACCCGGGCCACCAGCATCGCAGCGCGCGCACTTAACCACCAAGCCACAGGGCCGGCCTGTATAGGCTTTATTTAAAAATATGGACGGTACCTACCAGAATGTTAATAGGCAGAAACATTGAACCTGTGCCATTTTGGCAGTTTCAACAAAGAAACCAAATGGTAATTAAGTTTTCCCTTTTCTCCTGGAACAGTTACACAACAGTTACATTATTCTGCCAATGAAGCAGCCCTAGGAGAATTGAAGCACAGCTGGAAGCTGCACTCCATGTTGTCCATGGAAGTATTGCAGAACTTTCTAGTAATCCAGCACAAATCCACAACATAGGATTTTTTTTTTTTTTTGGCTTTTGAAAATTAAAAAGAAAAACTGTGACGCTTAATAGTTAATACAGGAGAATGTTTTCATCTGTAAATTAAGCAATATGAAGAGAAAGCTGTATCCTAAAGGGTGTTTGTTTTAGTCAGGATTCTTGGCTACCAGGGACTGAAACCCAGCTCAGACCAGCTTAAGCAAAAAAGGAGGTTTTGTTTGTTTTTATAGATCCTAGTGTAACTCACAGAATCAAAGGAAATACTGTAGGAACCAGGCCCACTGGGAATTGGAACCAGGTCTTTGAAGCACATCAGCATCCCCGGTCTCTGTCCACCTTCCATTTCTGCTCTCGCTCCGTGCCAGCTTTATTTTCTGAGACATCTGCACCAGATAGAAGTCAGGGCCACCTGGAACCCTGGTCTCATGTCCTTGTTTCTCCTGACCAAGGAGAAAGAGAGAAGAGAACGTGCTGTCTCTGTCGCACATCCCCTAACCCCAACCCCCACCAGCTCCAGATGACAGCCTGGAGAAGGATTCAGGCATGTGTCTCCCTCTTAGCCAGAGGAGTGGGTTTTACAAGTGGCGGTCCGCAGCAGGGCTATATGAAGTTGGAGGAGCAGTTTCCCAAAAGAAGGGGAGGATGCTGTTTCGAAAGATGAAACACTTTGGGTCTGCCACATTTAGCAAGAGGAAAATTGACCTCAGGTCAAAATACCAACTGGATTGGGTTATGTCTCGTCAGGTTCCTAAAGCTGCATAGAATAGGTATTCCTAGGGAATGTTGGAATTTTTTAAAAAGACATATACAAACACACACACACACATATACTTACATAGTTTGTACAGATGTCTGTGACATGTTAAATGAAAACAAAAAGCAGGTCATAAAATAGTGTATAACAGGTTCTATTTCCATAAAAGTAAACCAGCCCTATAATAAACCAAACCTATATCTGTGTTTGAGTGAGGAGAAAGGTGTGGAAGGATACAAAGGCTGGTGTTACTGGTTATATCAAGGAGTTGAGAATGGGGATGGGGGCCAGGGGAGAGGATTAGCTTTGCCTTTATATATAATGTATTGTGTCATTTCACTTGTTAAATTGGCTCGTATTGTGTTCTTAATTTAAGAAACATCCAATAAAGGAAAAAGCCTATTCAGAGTGAGCTCAGGAGGGGTGTGGATGCAGGGCCTGAAGGTAGATAGCTTGGGAGTCCTGTCATCTTAGGCTGGAAATCCAGGGTTTCCCAGACTTCTCAGATTCCCAAGACTTGGAAGGACAGCATAGGACATGGCAAACCAGCCTGTCTTGGAGCAACAGCAAGCTGGAGAGATCTATAGTACTATTTGTTCACCAAGCCTGTATCCCTTCCAGAAAGCAGATCTGAATGGGTCAGACCCACCACCACCCCTCAAATGGCAAAATCTACCGGGCAGTGTCCTTGCCCAGGGCAGTTGTAGGCAGGGCCCTTCCTGCCCAGAGCACAAGTGGCTTCCTTCCGCTCATGGACTGCCCCTGGTCCAAGCAGCTGTGGCAAGAACAGCTGGGCTGCTTTAAGCGAAGCACCTGATGTGAGCCATTACTTATGTGGGAAAGAAGGACTGTTGGGCCCCTTTTATGGAAAAGAGGGGCACGTAGCTGGCTGGTCCGTTGAGCCTCAGGGTCTGTTTGCTTTGGTTGAGAACTTCCAATGCCTGCTGCAGAGGCTTGTTATAAGTAACCCATCCCTAGGAATGTCCATGGCTGAGAACATGTGTGAGGTCAAGGTGTCTCCCTGCCTGTTTTCAGAGAGCCACCATAATAAATGTGGCCAAAGAGACAGGGCTGAAATCTTGATAAGAGAACTGTTGATGTGCGACGTTGTGAGGTGCTGAAGATCAAGCAGATGACAGCAGCTGCCACAACAGCCAGTTGTTAGGTGCCTGTACTGTGCCGGGCACCGTGCTGGGTGCACTACAGACATCATGGCGTATGATTCTCAACATTTCAGGCTGGCAGCTCTCAGTCACAGTTGATGGTTGAGACTCAGCATAGGTAATGTGCCTCAGGGCCCACTGCCAGTGAATGGCAGGTTTGGGTTTAGGACCTTTCCGTTCAAACCACACAGCCTCCTGAAGAGAGAGCCTTTGCTGGCGTTTCCCACTCACTAGCCTAAGGAGTTAGAGCAGCTCTGATTTTAGATGCATGGTCTTTGTTCTTGAGATGGAATTATTCCATCAGACCACTAAAATCCAATAAAAAAATAATGTGGGGCCGGCCCAGTGGCATAGTGGATAAGTTCGCGTGTCCCGCTTCGGCGGCCCGGGGTTTGCTGGTTCGGATCCTGGGCGTGGACCTACTCACCGCTCATCAAGCTGTGCTGAGGCAGCGTCCCACATAGAAGAGCTACAACTCTACAACTATGATATACAACTAGTACTGGGGCTTTGGGGAGAAAAAAAGAAAAAGAGGAAGATTGGCAACAGATGTTAGTGCAGGGCCAATCTTCCTCAAAAATATAAATAAGTAAATAATGGAAGGATGCCTTTGTGTAAGGCAAGTGGCTCCAACCACTGGGAGGGACATGCCTGTTCTCTTACTGCTACCTGGTAAGAGGGACTAGGGAGAGAACAGATCTGGGGACAGGGATGGGAGGATGAGTCCAGTTTGGACACTTTGAATTGTAGGTGCTTATGGACCTGATGCAGAGATGGCCAGGGTTGATTCTCATGTGTGCGCCTCAGAGAGTCCTTGGCCCAGACAGAAAGATGGAAGAAAACTCTAGGTGCACAGTGAAAAAAATAGGATATAAAAAACACATATATAAATAATATGGTCCCAATTTTTAAAAATTGGATGTAAATTTACCAAATTTAACTGGTTATGTGTAGCTCTATGGTATAATTACAGGTGAGTTTTATTTTCCTCTGAATATTTTTGCTTATGTACCAAATTATTTATAGTGAATATGCATTACTTTCATGATCAGAGGGAAAATTTATACAAGGAAACCTATAAAGAACTATTTCTTTAATGGAAAATGTCCCATTTTGATATGCACGGGTGATGAGGTGGTGTCAGCAAATACCTCTGAGTATTGGTCATGATCCCAAGGAAATGTATGTGAATAGAGGCTCAGGTTCTCTGCATGATTACAAACAAACCAACCCAGCTCATGGCAGTTGACAGACCAGGAGCTTGATAGGAAGTAAGAAGGTCAGCTGGAAAGGACTGTTTTCTAGAAAATCCTGGAGCCTCCTCGGGCTGTCCTCACCCTCAGGCAGGCTTCAGAAATCTGGCTGGAAGGGGAGCTTTGTCTGGCTTTGTGGCTGAAATCAGTATTCAGAGAAGGGTAGAGGACTGAGCTTTCAAAGCAGGTGTCTTTCCCGACAGTGGGTAGAGAGCCTGGCCTTCTGAGGCTGTCCCTTGATGCCACAGCACATGTTTCAAGCTGTTGTTCCCTTTCACAGCATATAAGTTAAGTTGACAGGACTTGCTATTGAAGCTGCCATCTAAGCTGTAACTGGTCGTTCATTTGCAGAAATGAATGCCTTACTGGCTTAAGGTAATTGCTTCTGGTGTAACCCAGCTAGGCTGCTTACTCTTGTGGGGCCACAGTTGCTTATTCCGTCAAATTAAGGGGGTGGGGTGGAGGACATATCTCAAAAGCCTCTTTGAGCTCTAAGATCTTAGGATTCCCTGTTCTTCAGAGGAAATATCTCATAGGAAGTGATTTGAAGAGGCTATTGCACACTTGAAAGGTGGCTAGTGTGACTGAGGAACTGAATTTTTTATTTTAATTAAAGTTTAAATTTATATAACCACGTGTGGCTAGTGGCTACTGTATTGGACAGCACAGCTCCTTAATTGGAAAACACTAATGTGAGGTGAACATTTTAAATGCCTATACATTTTTATACACACATATTTTTGAAATTGAAAAAAACTTTTCATAATTTCAGAAAAACAGTTCAGGATTGTTATAGACAATATAGACAAGAAAAAGAAGAAAGTAAAAAGTAGTCCAAAACCCCTACTCAGAGATAGCTGCTGTTGGCGCCTTGGTGTATAACCTTCTAAATTCTCTTCTATGCTTATGTCATAGTTAGCCAGCTGGCTTTCAAAAGCATAGTTTGAAATCATCCAGAAAGGGATAAGATGTGTTAGTAGGAGAGAATGCCTGTTTATTGCCCAGAAGAGAACACTGATACAGGTTTTAGCAAAATGGCTGATGTTTTTCTCTGGGCACTAGGTCATCAACCCCATGGGCTGGGATGCATTTGGACTGCCTGCCGAAAATGCCGCCATTGAGAGGAGTCTGCATCCAGAAAGTTGGACACAAAGGTATGTGTTTATAGGCGTATTCAAACCCTTAGATACAAAAACCTTAAAAAGATTTTTTAAATCTGTGCATGAGAAATAGAAAGCAAAGCAAACAAAACATTGCAGTCTGCCAAGCGATAAACAGAATTGTATATATTGATGTTTGTCTTGTAGCATGCTGTATTCTTATCTAAGAAATCACAAAGATGGTTTTGGGTATTCATTCATGTGTTCATTTTGATGCTTTGTTATTTACAAAGTTATTCTTCCTTTGAGTATTTGCATTTGGAAGGAAAAAGGAGGAGAGGGTTGCATTTATTAAATTTCTACAATGCTTCTCATCTTCTTGACCATAGTTTGAGCTACATCCAAATTCCACATTGTAATTTTCTCTGAAGATTCTGTTATTTTTACCTTCACCATTCCAAAGCAAGAGGAACGTCAACATTCAGTGTAAAATTATGTGGCTAATTTTTTCTGGGTGTGGCTTTCTCCAAGGTGGAAACACTCCCAATCCCACCGGTGCCTCAGGCTTCCATGTACAGTCAGGCGCCGTGTAAGGATGTTTCAGTCAAAGACGGACTGCATATATGACAGCGGTCCCATAAGATTAGTACCATATAGCCTAGGTGTGTGGTGGCTACCCCATCTAGGTTTGTGTAGGTACACTCGATGGTGTTCACACGACAAAATCACCTAATAAACCATATTTCTCAGAATGTATCCCCGTCGTTAAGTGACACATGACTACATATGGGCCAGCAGTGCCTATCACTCTCCTTCCTAATAAAGTCTTGAGGCCCTCATATCAGAACCCAGCAGAATGTTCTCAGCTCACTCCATCAGCCCCTCTCACAAAGATCTGGCTGTTTTCTTACCCCAGCCCTCAGAGATGTGGAAGGGCAGTTCCAGGGCCTGTCCCCTTTGTCTTTTACCTCCCTTTGCTGTATCTTGCACAAGGCTACATTGTAAAAACAGGTACTGTGCCATCCACTTCTCTTTTTTCTTCCTAACCCCTCGTTTCTACTTTTTCAGTTATGGTTAATTCTAGAATAATGGGAGTGATGAATAAAGGAGGAAATGATGATCAAATAAAATGGATCAAATATGACATAAATTTGATATAAGCTAGACCAGAGATTGGCAAATTATGGCCCGTGGCCAAATTTGGTCCTGTTTGATTTTTATAAATAAAGTTTTATTGGAACACAGTCACACCCATTTGTTTACATGTTGTCCATGGCTGCTTTCATGATAGAGTGGCTGCTTTCATGATACACAGTTGAGTAGTTATGACAGAGACCATATGGCTCACAAAGCTGAAAACATTTACCATCTGGCCCTTTAGAGAAAAAGTTTGCCGTCTCCACCAGAGAGTAGCAGTTAAGAAGATGGCCCCTGAATCAGGCCACTTAGGTGCAAATCCTGCCTTTCCTTCTTGCTGGCTTGTCACCTTCAGCAAATTACTTAACGTCTCTGTGCCTCAATTTATTTATCTGTAAAAGGGGAGTAGTCATAGATCCTACTTCATACGAATGGGTAAAGATTAAGCACTGTCTTACTCAGCTGCTATAAAAAAAAATACTGTAGTCTAGGTGGCTTATATACAGCAGAAATTTATTTCTCACAGTTCCGGAGGCTGGGAAGTCTAAGATCAAAGCGCCTGCAGATTTGGTGTCTGGTAAGGACCTGCTTCTCAGTTCGTAGATGGACATCTTCTCTCTGTGTCCTCACATGGTGGAAGGGACAAGGGAGCCCTCTGGAATCTCTTCTATAAAGGCACTAATCCCATCCATGAAGGCTCTGCCCTGATGACCTCATCACCTCCCAAAGGCCCCACCTCCTAATACCATCACATTGGAGATTAGGTTTCAACATGTGAATTTTGGGGGGGGACACAAACATTCAGACTATCGCAAGCACTTTTCTGCAAAATGCTTAGCACAAGGCCTGGAATAAAACAAGCTATTGTTAGCTAATCAGAGATTACCTAGAGAATTTTTTCATGGCTTTTCATATTTTCAGTCTGCTTCAACTGAAAGAGGGTGCAATAGAAATGAATTAGTCCTTTTTCTTTAATGAAAAGAGAAGAAAAAATGATGTATTTCCTTATTCATGTTATATTAAAGTTGATTAATTCACTTCTCTCCCTCTTTCCCAATTGTTGGACAGTTTTAGATTTTAAGTTTTGATTGACAAAGCACTAAATCAGATTTCTTTAGGATTTCCACAATTTGTGCGTTAAGGCTTTTCTCTTCAATTTTAAATTATAAATTCTTGGCTTAAATTTGTGCAAAATACAGATATATGGATGGGCCAGGTGTGCACATATCAAAGGGGTTGCCTATCTGAATGGCCAGAGGAAGGGCCAATCCCCAGGGCCAGTGTGGTTTCTAGTAGATTCTGTATGAGTCCAAAGAACAGGTGTCTTCTAATATGCTGATATTTTTGTTGATTTTTAGTGATTAATTTTTTTTGCCAGGACAAAACGACACTTAAAGCCCTTTTGAATAATCTAGACTTTTATGGTTTCCCTTCACATTCTCAAAGTGTGGGTTGTTTATGGCTTTTCCCTCCTCTAAAAACCAAACTTTCTTCCCTTTGTTTCTCAGTAATATTAAACACATGAGGAAACAGCTTGATCGACTGGGCCTGTGTTTCAGCTGGGATAGGGTAAGTCAACCCTTTTTCCTGGAAGGTCTTTATTTTAATGAGGGTCCTGATTGCACTGGAGACTGTGCACATTTACTTCATGTTCCTCCTCTTGGGTTGGGAGAAGGGAAGGGAGGGAGGCAGAAAGCAGGAGGGAAGGATTAGCACTCAACAAATAATTTGCCTGCAAACAAGTAATTTTCTGTGGGATTAAGCTAAGACAGTTAACTCTTATTTAACTTCACGGTTGGCTATGATTTATGTGTGGCAAAAGCTTTGCACAAGGATTTCTCCTGTTCTCAGCAATAGTTTAAAAAGAAAAACTATTGGAATCTGTCTAAAAGTGATTCAGTATCAACCCATCTGGTCCTTTTAGGTGATTTGGTGTTAAGTCGATTGACCATTTATTTATCTTTTGTTCCAAGTTTGAAATTGACAGACCATAATGATTCTGTCACAAATAGCCTTTTGATGTAAAATGCTTTCAAATTGTATATTAAACCAGTGGAGAATTCCAGACCTGAAGAGTTCAGCGAAGACCACGTGGATGTTAAGAACACTCACACTAGATATGAACTGAGCCCTTCAAAGCTCTGGCTGAAGGCCCTCTCCTTAGACAGTGACGAGTGGTCTGTTAGGTGAGATAGACTCCTGCTTGTCCCCTCCACGAAGGGCCCTTCCAATGTCATGATCCCCATTGACTCCACAAAATGATTGAGGTTTTCATTGATGGGCATTCCTTTTACTCATGAGAAGTTCAAATTCACATCCTTTTACTCATGAGAAGCACCTGGAACAAATCCAAATGAGATCTCCTTCTCCTCCTCCAACTATTTCTTAAATGATTGAGATTTGATGAGTACAGTGAAAAAGAGCAAAAGTCAAACACATTTAAACAGTCTCTGATTTTTTTTTTGGTAGCTCCTTTAGATAAGGTCATGAGCTGAATCAAATTCTAATTGCACCACTGATGCCATTTTTACCACTGACTTGCAAGGTCACCAGTGTTTCATTTGGTGGAGGTGTGAAAAAGTCCTGGCACCTGGGGCAAGGTGCCAGTAAGGAATTGTTGATAGAGAATGAAATGCTGTCTAATGCAGAGAGAATTCAATAATACCCAGAGCTCTCCAGAGATGAGATTATAGATTCTTTGAGGGTGAAGATGGACTCGTTAACCCTCTAGGATGATAACTAGCCTAGTCCTGCACAGGAACATCAACCATAAATGGTTCAAAAAATTAATGGATTATTTTCCTGATCATCATAGAAGATTAGAAAATACAGAAAGTGTAAAGAACATAAGTCAGTGTGGCTAATGGTGTGGTTCCTTGCAATTTTTTATTTTGGAATTATAAACGTCTATGTAATTTACTTTTCCAAAATTGAATTCATAATGCATATTTTTTATCTTGCTTTTTTTTACTTGCTATTCATGAACGTTTTCTCATTTTATTAAACATTCTTTGAAAAAATGACTTTTTATAGCTTTATAGTTTTCCGTCTTACAAATATATCATTATTTATGTAACCTATCCCTTACTATCATACATTTAGATAGGTTCTAATGTTTTCCTGTTATAGATACGGGTTCCCAATCCCTCTTGTGCAAATCTGAAGTCCAGAAACTCTAAAAACTGAAAGTTTTTTTGTAGCTCATTTGACTGTAAAACCTGACCTGAACTGATGTCCCTATCTCACTAAGAATGAATATTCATATATTTTACTATAGGAATAGTAGTATAACTGATTACCAGGTGCTTTCCCAGACCTAGTTGGGTAAATACACTATCAACTTTTAATATCCAATAATGTCTTAATTCTGAAGCACATTTGACTGCAGGCATTTCAGATAAAGGATTTTGAACCTACAGTGCTATGTTCTAGATAAATACCACGCTGTTGCTACCACTGTCTAATAGGGTTGTTACTGAGCACTTACCATGGGCCAGGCACCCGTAATTATCTCTTTGAATCCCTAGAAAGCTCTAAAACATAGTTGCTTTTATTGACGTCATTTTCTTGCTGGTCATTCAAGTGGCAGGGGTGGGCTAATCCACTGGCCAGTTTGACTGTTGTGTTCGTCTCCCACACTTGGGGCAGAAATCTTGGTACACATATTTTATTATTTAATATGAATTTTCAAAAAAGCCATGAACAAGTTTAAGGCTTATGGTACTTAAGACTTAAAGGATACTTAAAGGTAGGGGCTGGCGCGATGGCACAAGCGGTTAAGTGCACGCACTCCGGTGCTGGCGGCCCGGGGTTTGCCAGTTTGGATCCTGGACGTGCACCGACGCACTGCTTGGCAAGCCATGCTGTGGCGGCCTCCCATATAAAGTGGAGGAAGATTGGCATGGATGTTAGCCCAGGGCCAGTCTTCCTCAGCAACAAAAGAGGAGGATTGGCAGATGTTAGCACAGGGCTGGTCTTCCTCACAAATAAAAAAAAGCAAAAGGATACTTAAAGGTATAATTTGGCTTATGGTACTTAAAGGTATAAAGACTATACAAATTCATACTCCCAAGTTATTACATAGTTGCTCTCATCTGTATTTCTTTTATCATTAGTGACAGTGAGTTTTTTTCATATGTTTAATAACGTTTGAATTTGGGGTGTATATGTGAATGATCTAATCATTTAGTCTTTTGCCCACATAGGTAGGGGGTATTTATCCTTTTCTTAATGATTTTTATTTTGTTACAAATATTTTTCCTTGCATTTTGTGTATAGTGGGATTATTATTAGCACACAAATACGTACTTGGAAAGACCTTCTGTGAGATAGATAAATACATTCATATTTTCTTCTCAGTCTTTTATGGTTTAATTTTTATATTTAGCTTGTCTGGAATTATTTTAATATATTATATAAGATAAGGTGTTACTACTTTTTCTAAAAAACCAGTTGTTGCTGTTTTTTATTTTTAAACAGTCCTTTCCTCATTGCTTTAAAAGGCTACCTGTGTTGTAACCTAGTTCTTTTATACTATTATACTTAAGTTCTATTTCTATTCATTTGATCCATTTATATCATTATTAAACTATTTTTAATTATAATTGCTTTATAATTGGTTTAAAACCTGGTAACAGAGATTTCCTCTTATTGTCTGATATTAACCATGCCATCCCTTCTGTCTTGTGTTTCTGGGTTTTTTGATATATTTTGCCCATTTTCTTAAACTTTTAGCCTTTATTTGTTGAATTCTTTTGGTACATCACTTGTAGATACAGTTAATTAAAAAAATTTAAAAATGAGCAAATCATGAGAGGGAAATATTCTTTTGGCCAATCTAGAGTTTTTGTCTTTAATAGGAAAGTGTAAGCTGTTTGTATATGTTTTCATAACTAGTATTTATTTTCTAATTAGACTTTTTAAAACATAGTTTTAGGTGTCCTTTTCTTTCATGGTGTCTTGCATTTTGGGTTTTGTTTTCTTTTTTTTCCTCTAGAGACTTAAAAAAATATCAATTCTATTTTTTATTCTGCTAAAAATAGCTTTAAGAGTTTAAAAAAAAACATGTTTAGTATCAACATAAAAAATAAAAGTATATATTTTTTTGCTCCCCATGTAAGATAAGGAAATTAGCAGGCAGTTACACTTCCCACTCTCTAAACCTATTTTCCAGAGGTATTATATATATATATATATATATACACTGTGAGTTTTTAGGCCTAATTTATTCTTACATTGTAATTTTTCTGATCTTGTATCATTTCTTCAATATTATGTTTGATATTTGCTTCTAGTTTTAAAATCACATTCATAACAATTGTTTAAATTGAATGTTCCTTACTAGTTTCAGTGCTCATCAGTAGACCTTTTAGAGCGACTGCCAATTTTTAAAATTTAGATTTGTGAAAATGTTAACTCTTGCTTTTTCTGACATCATATATTATTTTGATAACTGAGATGACTTTCCATTGCTCTCACCTATGAACAGCAATTTATTGGGATATGGAATTCTTTTTTCTTTCAAATCTCTCTAGTAAACCTTGATCCTTGATCTTTGTCTCTCTCTCTCTCTTTTTTTTTTTGTTGAGGAAGACTGTCGCTGAGCTAACATCTGTGCCAGTCTTCCTCTACTTTTTATGTGGGATGCCGCCACAGCATGACTTGATGAGCAGTGTGTAGGTCCACGCCCAAGATCCAAACCCGCGGACCCCGGGCCGCTGAAGCAGAGGGCGCGAACTTAACCACTACGCCACCAGGTCGACCCCCTTTTTTTTAAAAAAATAATTATAGACTCACAGGAAGTCACCAAGATAGTACAGAGAGATCCTATGTACCCTTCACCCAGCTTCCCCCGATGGTGACATTTTCTATAACTACAATATAATATCAACACCAGGAAATTGCCGCTGGTACAACACTATTAACTAGAGTATAAATCTTGTTCAGATATTTACCAGTTTTCACATGCAGTCATTTGTGTGTGTGTGTGTGTGTGTGTGTGTGTGTAGTAACAGTATGTAGAGATCACATGTAGAGATTTATGTAACCACCACCACCTGATCCATTGGCCTTTGGTAGAGAAGTCTGAGACCAGCCCAAATTGTCTTTGTACATATAGTAATCTTTACACTCCCATTATGATGCTTGTGGATTCGTTCTGTCTCTGTTCTTGCCATTTAAATTTTTCATCAGAGTATATCTCAATGTCAGTCCTCTCACTTTAATTTTGCCTGGTGCTGAGTGACCGCTTTTGGTCCACAGTTGTGGGTCTTTCCCTGTGGCAGTTTTATAGGTCCTCTTTCAAGAACACGGTCAGCGTGTGCTCTGTTCACTGTCCTCCACTGTTTTCACTGCCTGTCTCATGATTTTGGTCTCTTTGTTCTTCTCTGCCTTGTGGAAGAACTTCTCATGTTTGCTTTCCACGTCAGTGATTCAGTTTCTATTGAGTCACTGCTGGTTTGTCTAGTTTCTAATGCAGATATTAATTTTGCTATTGTATTTTTAGATTTCTTCTTATTTTTCCTTATCTCATTCAGCTTCCATTTTCTTTCACAAGCATCTTGGCTAGA